TACGAAGAGACCCGTGGTGTCCCTTAAATCCTTCCTCGAAGGTGTCATCCGCGATGCCGTCACATATACTGAGCACGCCAAGCGAAAGACCGTCACATCGCTGGATGTTGTCTATGCCCTCAAGAGACAAGGACGTAAGTTTGATACACCCATCCTCTTCCATAGCGCCTTGGACCACCAGTTGGTCTCGTTTCGACGCGTCTTTCTGACATATCTCTCCTCAGGTACTCTCTACGGTTTCGGTGGTTAAACCTTGCATAAAATTACACATCTTCATATACCTCTTCCTTTAACGATCCGCCTTCCCTTATCTACGATATTGGCTTTCGTGGTGTTACGTTTTTTTCATTATTGCGGTTATTCATGGGTTTATTCGTCAGGTTTCTAATTATTTTGTTTTTCATGCCCTGTTATCTCTTGTTTTATCTGGGCGGGTCGGTGGTCGATGGAGTCATGCTGCTTGTATCATACAACCCAAGTGTTTTCCCTCCATCATTTGAAAATCCGTTTCCTCGTCGTCCATCGACGTTATGACTGCTGGCGATGCTTGGGAACAGGATTACAATGAAATTGCGGCTCTGAGCTGCTTCTCACGAATATATGCTTCTTCAACTCGTAATCTTCATGGCGAGAGTATGCTCGTTTCAACCGTACAATCCACGCGTATATATTTTCCCCTCCCCTTTTACTTACAGTCCTGTCCTCTAGCGTAAATCATTGACTCTCCGGCCGTTGCCATCCACAGGCGTCCTTATCGTAGTTCCATTCCTGCGTTGATGATGTGACGACGGGACTTGAGAGTGCGCTGGCATACATTTCCGCTCAATCAATATCTATTTTCCACACGCACCGTATGTAATCCGGGATCCCAGGCATGAATGAAATGAAATGCCCTAGTTAACTTATATATTACGGGCTTGGTAATAATCCGATGCATTACGTGGCGAGATGCGGAAGTGTATAATTAATCAAATCACCCAACCCGATTTTTGCTGGAAGCCGGACGTAAATCCCTCTGACTAGGTTATTATTATTTAGAGACCCCGTTCTATATTTATTGCGCTGTTCTATGGTGCTCGTTTACGATGGCAGGTAAACATTTTGTGTAGTTATTGTTGTGGATTTCCTGGGGTTGAAGTTATCGTGATCTTATGTTCTGCAAATATATATATATATATATATATATATATATAATACAGTACATCGATCCAGACGCTACAAAATGTCTTCGAGGTAAAATATACACCGACAACACCCGAGAAACAGAAGAAAAAAATCCAAAATTGTTTTTTTTTGACGAACGTGGTTTCATTTTTCCCCCTCCTCTATTACTTTTTATTTTCTCCTTTCCTCTTCTGAATATCTATCTACCTACATTCTCGTTGATTCAGCACGTGTCCATCTACAAACCAGTGACGTCAATGACCTATGTTTAGAAAACGATAACCCAAGGAACTGAACAACTGCAAATTGTATTCGAGCCATTGTAACTCTCTCTCTCTCTCTCTCTTTTCTATGTACTACGTATGTTAATCAATAGCTGGTTAGGGGGCCAAGAGCCAAAAAAGTGAAAAAAATTACAAACTTTTCCATTGCCGCTCATCAACTAACTTAACTATAAAAAAAAAGCCATGTCATGTTGGACAATCCAAAACACGAATATCGTCCCGGAATTAGAATTCTTACATACAAAAGGGACGGAGGGCGAAAAGTCATTATCATAATGGAAACCTCCAATGATCAATTCCCGCGGCGTGATGTGAGTGATAGTTCTCTCTGAAGTGATAGAGCCGGCAACGGGCAGCTTTTGTGTGTCCGCTATGAAGCAGATACCTGGAGACCAAAAGCAATAAAGGGAGGACAGGACGAACCAACAGAAGGGGTATAGTGGTAACCGGAAAAAAACTTTCTGATTTCAAGATTCTGTTAAGGTGACTTCACTGCGTTAAGAGGCCAACCCTAAGTCATAGCCACAGTGGTTGAGATACGTGCATCCGAGTCCTAGACAGTCAGTCTAATTACGGAGGATTTGGTCGCACATTCGTCTTGTTCCCGTGAGGAAAAGAGTTGATTTGTTGCAGGCCTCTGTCGCCCGTGCTCCTACTGTGCGCGTCTGGTGATGGGGGTCTGTTCAATGTCCAAAGAAGGTATGACATGCAAAGGTTAGCCGTGCGTGCTTTGAATTGATGTGGGACGCGAGTGTGGAGCTTTGTGTCTTGGCAGGCTGCTTTGTTTTGTTTATCCTTAACCCAATGCTGACTCCGTGTACCTCATCCTGCAAGAGTGGCCAACCCCTGACAAGCAGCAACTTCGCCAACAATTATTATCCCGTGAGTTCATACGAGTAGAGGTGGGGCAACTGCAAAAACAACGGCAGAGAATGTCAAGCGGTGGGGAATTGAATACTCTGTTGAAAGAAAGAAAGTGCTGATTGATGATGGATTCCACGCGAGTTGTGCCATCTGCGTGAATGGAACGCGAGATCAATCAATTGGCTGATATGTGTGTCATAGCCGGACAGGACATACTGTACTTCTATTTCACGAGCGGCCTCTGAATTGCGGAGCAGTCACATATATAAGCAACTGAGTATATTATTCATCTACCAAACCAAGAGGCATCATATCATCAAACCCCTCCTTCTCCATTCAATACACGCGATCCATATTTTACTCAATTCCACCACTCCAAGCATCACCCGATTGGACGTTCAAGACCTGTTTTACGAATGGGAATCCAATCAATTTTTTCAAGCCAACAAAAACTGTCCTCCAGAGGCTGTGCCAGAGCTAAAGCCAGATCTTATGAAACCAGAGTTTGTTGTGTTTTGAAGGCCGTGGAAGCAGGGTATCGCGGAGGAAGATTTCGGGGGAGGAAAGAGCAGAGAATAGTGGTAGATGCGAGTTTTAAGAAACAGAATTGAATTGCGTGGAATAAGAAACTATAAGTATGCTTTGAAAGGAGCCAATTCCGATGGATGGGATAACCAGGCAAGATTTGTATGTACTAGGGTTGTCCCGGATGCTTTTGCCTTTATTATAACCGTTCATCTTTCACATCCATAGGTACAGTACATACAGTACTCTGTACAATCAATCTACCTCTCCAGTAAGCTCTCGCTTGGACGCGTTTTATGGCTGATACTTCACCCACGTTGCGCTGGGGATTCGTCGAGGTGAAAGAACAAGATACGGAACACAGATCTGTATTATGGAAGAAATCTGTTAGGCATTACTACGGCTACCCCAGGCACATGCCACCCAACATATTATGTTGCTCTCGCTTAGATAGTTAACAATGACACAACCAACATTATCCTCCTACAGGTTATGAAGCACTTTGTGAGCAACAGAACCGCTGCAATAACGTGTCAACTACATCTCCACGCATCATTATTGTGGCGGACGTAAAGCTTGCGAAAACAGAATTTTCTGCCACCCCCTGAAAAATAGTAGCAAAACACAGCAAAAATAACCAAAATATCCACATATCTCTAGAATCATTCAAATATCATCCAATTTATTCAAAATACACACCTTTATCATCAAATCTGTCAAAATGCCCCCCCAGCTCAGTGAATTTACCACCAATAAGATCATACATTTTTTAACCATGGTTATATATCTGCTTAGATTGTGTGAATCATTGAATGTCATTTGATCATCATATATCAAATTCAATGAAATATTCACTGCTTTGAAACTGCTAGAAGTTCTCATTTAATAAAAAATATAAAGTTAAAGATCACATCTGATATTTTATTAAATTTAAAGAACTTTTTTAAAGCATATTCAATTGCATATCACAATGAGATTGTCTGCTTTATGAAGAATGAATTTGATATTGATATTCACTTTTGATCAATATCTAAATTATTGAAGAAACTAAACTTGATATGAAAGAAAGTAATTAATTATTATAATTATTATTTATAAAATTTGTTAATTCATCAATTTTATTTAATATAGATTGAATATGTGATCATCTAATATGATGAAAAATTTCAAATTGAATGATGCATTCAAATTACTCAATATCAATCTGATCAACTTATTTTTTTAAATGAAAATGCTGTGAATAAATATATTATAAATTGATGATATGAGTGATCAAGTAGAGAATTCTTTTGTTATATTAGAAGATTTTATAAACAATTTTATAAATGATCAATTTTATTAATAATAAATATTAATGAATATTTTAATTATGATATATATCAGAGGTTCTATAATACAGAAAGGTTCAATGAGTTTGTATATATTTAATTATATGATAGATTAATATTTATTAATAATTAATTTATGTAATCAACTTCTTTTCTGCATCTACTCATCGTTGTTATTGTATTTCATACTCATGTAATCTTTAATAATTCTTTGCCCCGGTGGCCGAATGGGTAATGCGGCCACCAGGTAGCGCCTTGGTGTGGGGACCCAAGGCGCGTGGGTTTGAAACTCACAAGGGGATAACATTACATTTGGAGCTAACTTCTCAGCTTCTAAAATAAAGGGATGTGAACTTGCTAAGTAGATATCTTCAGATGAATCTACTATCTGATTTAATTTATTGTTTCTGAATTGAAAATCTATATTATGAGTATCAAATTCTATTTTTCATTAATTTTTCTATATTTTTGTTATATTTTTAATATCATTTAACACTAAGCATTCCTTCTGTATAACCAACTCTTACCTGTATTTAACATTACACAAGGACTCGTCATAAGCACTGCTTGCATACGAGTATAACAGAATAATAATAATAATAATAATTTAAATAATTCTTTCATATAACCTCTTTTACCTCACATTTCATATTTATATAGTTTTAATAATTCTTTCACATAATTCTTAATATTTTTCTGCTTTGTATTTCACTTCATATTTCATTGTGAGACAGCTTTTAATATTCTTTCACTTTGATTTTCTTTTTATAAAAATCCTTTTTATATGATCTTTTCTTCTGATCTCTTTTTTCTTTCTTTTTTTAATCAATTCATAATCTGTATTTAAAATAATATTAAATTGCTAATCAAAATATATTTATTATATTATAAATTGATTCATTTGTGTCAGTCTGAGTGTTTTATATTTACAATTGCATTCAGATACTCAAGTAAGAAATAAATTACTCAGTTTTTATAAAGCAGTGTTGTTGTAATAACATCTGCAATTTTTAAAATTCTATAAAGTCACACCACTATGATAGTGCTGCAAAAAAGTCTGAATGTTTAAGAATTTCACAATTATATATCTGTGAAAAGATCAGAATATTTATAAAATATCTTCTCTGAAAAATCAAACCTTCTGATTTTTAAATTATCAGAATCAAAAATCATGATCTCATATAAAAATGAAATGAATTACAAACACTTCTTTATGAATGAGAATTGAAACTTCACAGAAAATACTACTGAGCTCTGTAACTTTCTTCAACAGCAATTTTTGTAAATGATAAAGTTTCAATAACAATTGAATCATTTGAATATGAATACATCAGAAACTGTGCAAGTGTCAATATTCTTTGTATACAAAAGAAAAAAACACCTTCTTCTTCTCAATAAATTTATGAGAAAGCTCTCAATCTATCTAATTTGAAAATGAAAGATAAAAGTCAAGCTTAAAGAAAATGAGTCTGTAATAAACTCTCTGCTTTTACAAATATGCTATATTCATAATCAGTTAGAAGAAGACACTTTAGTTGAAGTTTCAACTTTGAATTGAATTGTGTATGTATGAAATATGTATTTTTGAAGAAGTTTTTCATCAATTAAATATTCTATTCTTAAATTCTACACTGCAAATGTGCATAATGCAGTGGTTGAATAAAAACTATCAGAGAAATACTCTCTTAGTAAACTAGCTGCTTGACTTTGATAGCAAGATCTAGAAGCAGAAAAACAGAACTGAGATGATGTTATAAAGATAATTTTCTGAATTAACACATCAGCTTTAAATTGCTTAAACTCTTTTATTCAATACAAAAACTGAAAATGAATTCTTGATTGAATATTTGAAAGAATCAAATATTACTATAAGATTTCAATTGAATAGTTTAATCTGATAATAAATTCAATTTTTATTTTTCTTTTTTTCTTTTATTTCTATGTATTTGCTTTAATTTTTGTTTTTATTTTTATTTTTATTTTGTTACTTTTACTATCAAATTTATTTCATTTTGATTATTTTTGATTTTGGCTTGTTTTGAAAAGTTTGATTTGTGAATGCTTTCTTTTCTTTTAACAGCTGCTGTTTTTTATACTCTTTATTTCATTTGTTTTAAATTGAATGTATTGATCTATTGTCATTCTTTTGACATTCTCTCTTAAATTAAATAGTTTGAATAGTTGTTTGATTCTGGGCTGGAATTCTGCTATTGCATGTATTAAATTGACTTTGTATATTAGCTTATCCTTAAGTTAAAAAATCCTAGAGTATTTCAGGTAGATGTCATAGTCACTGACTGCATATATCTATAGTAGAAGAATAATAATAATAATAATAATAACTTAATTTACTTATCATTAATATTTTGAAAAAGATTTATAAGAGGTGTGGCTATCTGTGAGAAAGCATATATGAATCTTTGATAAAAGTTTGCAAATTCTATGAAAACTTGAATATTTCAGATGCTTTTATATATTGACTAATTTAGAATGATTTCAACTCAGCTTCGATTTATGATTATATCAGTAGATGATACAATATAGTTAAAAAATTCAATCTCAATGATGAAAAAGATGCATTTGCTTTTTTTAATATAGAGTTGATATTTTCATAAACATCCGAAAACTAATTAAAGATGTTTTGTATGATCTTCAGTATTTTGAAAGTAGATAAGAATGTTATTGAAATAAATGATACAATAGATATCAACTAGATCTTTCAGCATTTTATTGATATAAAATTAAAATATAACAAAGGTGTTACAGAGCCTTATAAGCATAATATAAAATTCATAGCTGTCATATTGAATTTGAAATACTATTTTTCAATCATTTTCTTTTGCTATTCATATATGATAGTAAGTATTTTGAAAATTTATTTTAGAGAAGATGACAGTATTCTATAATCAATTTAACATCTCTTCAATGCAAGAAATTGAATATCAATCCTTTATAGTGATCTTGTTAAAACTTCATTAATCTACACAAAGATGTAGAGTTTCATTTTTTTTCTTTGCAAATACAATAAATATAGCAGCAAAACTTTTTATATAATATATTCATTATTGTGATAACATTTTTTTTAGATATTTACATAAAGCATCTAATTCTATTATAAATAAATTGTATAAAGATTAATAAAGTGGTTTCTTTTTATGTTGTAATCATATATGATGCAATATGATGAGGTTCTCATCTAACTTCACTGCTGCTTAATAGAAAAGATATTTTTAAATTCAGTTAAGAGATTTTGCAGATTTGAAGATAAAATAGTTTTATCAATAAAATATAATCATTTCAAGAAAGATTTAATATTTCCATCTTAAAAGTAAATTGATGTTATAAATGTTTTCTTTATAGGGTGAATAAATTCTTCTGATTTAGTTATTTCAATCTTAATATCTTCAATTCAACATCATTATGATAACATGTTTCAATCAATTAAAGAATTAACTGTTTTTAATTATAAAAAATCTAGATATAGATCTTCATTTGCTAGATTAATAAAATGAAAACTAAGTTTGCTTTCTCAAATTTCATCTAGTCTATCAGTGGCTTGATAAGTAGCATTAACACTATCATATCAATAGCCTAATCATTCATTAGAATATTGCACTTGAGATGATGGTTCAATTCATTTCCATTTTTTAAAAATAGTATAAATATAAAAGATATAATTAAAAACTGCTTCTGAATTTATTAGACATCAAATCAGTTCAGAATCATTAGAAATGTTTAATTGAATAATGATATACATATAAAATCTATCATCTAATCACTTCTCATTCTTTTGAGTTTCAGTGATATGAGCTATTACAAATGTTGATTTCAATTTTTTAATGATTTAAATTCATTTTTCTTTTTTAATACACTTTTTAAGAATATGATCTGTCTTTTCACAGAATAAAAAAAGATTGTTATTCATATAATATTAATGTTTTTCTATAATAAATTTTTCAGTTGAGGTTAAATTTCATTGAATTTTTTCAGAAGAAGTGTTAAAAAATCATTTAATTTCACATTTATTATCATTTCTTTATTCTGTAAAAAAATTCTTGCTTGTTGTTACTCCTTTTGACACAGCTCTTGCAAACAGTTTGAATTCAAACAATTAATGTAATTAATTCAGTTTAATTAATAGAAGAATTATGATGAGTTTGAATTTGATTCTGTATTGTAGTTGACAATTTAATAAAGAATAGCTAAGTAAATAATTTTTTTATATTGATTGTTAAATCATCATAAATCTCATTAAATCCGAATGCAAATTGCTACACTGATTGATTGAATGGAAGCTTCAATTCTTCAAAATGAATCACTGCTGTAAAGTCACAGTTGTATATGTCTTTCAAATTGTTATACAAAAATTTTTTAAAGTTCTTTCATGGAAAAAATTGCTCTAATCTTTTGAGCTCTCTTTTTTTAATAACTCAAGTAG